GGAAAAGACATTGGAAAGTTGCGAACAGAAGATTTACATGATCTGACAGGTTTTAAGTGGGTCGCTCTGATTGCTGTGTTAACAATAGACTATAAAGGAAGCCAGAACAGAAATAGAGAGACCAGTTAGGAAGCTCTTCCTCATAATCTAGGCAAAACATGATGATGGTTTCACCAGGATAATAACAGTGAATTGATAAGAGTGGTTGAACTCAGCCGGGTGCAATGGTTCACACCTGTAATTCCAGCACTTTGCGAGGCCGAGGTGGTCAGATCACTTGAGGTCAGGAGTTTGAGACCAGCCTGGTCAACATGGAAAAACCCCATCTCTACTAAAAATACAAAAATTAGCTTGGTCCAGTGGTGGGCACCTGTAATCCCAGCTACTCACGAGGGAGGCAGAGGCAGGAGAATTGCTTGAACCCGGGAGGGGGAGGTTTCAGTGAGGTGAGATCACACCATTGCACTCCAGCCTGGGCAACAGAACAAGATTCCATCTCAAAAAAAAACTGGTTAAACTCTGGAAATACTTTGAAGGTAGAGCCAACAACACTTGCCAATGAATTGGGTGGAGGGCATGAGAGAGAAAAAGAATGACTTCAAGAGTTTTTGTCTGAGAAACTCAAAATATGGGGTCATTTTTGAGACAAGGAAGATTGCAGGAGAAGCAGGTTTTAGGGGAGAAAATAAAGAGATCCATTTTGGACTTACTAAGTTTGAATGCTTATTAAATGTCCCTGTGGAGAACTTAAATAGGCATTTGGACACATAAATGAATCCGGAGTTCAGGGAAGAGGTCCAGAATATGATATGAAATTGGAAGTAATCAGAGCACATAATATGAAATTTAAAGCCACGAGGCTGGATAAGGCCACCGAGAGAGCAAGTGTGACATGCAAAGGGACAAGGTTCCTGTGCTCACCCCAGGACTTCTCCAGTATCTAAGGTTGGGGCAATAAAGAAGAACCAGAAAGGGAGTCCCACAGGAGCTCTCAGAGAGGAAGATGGAGAGCTAGGCACGCATGAGGTTTTGCTTGGCAGGTGAAGCAAGTGTTTCAGTGAGAAGAGCGTGATAAAATAGATACTCAGGTAATGTCAAGTAAGAACACTATTTGGATGGAACAACTCAGAGGCAGTCGTCGACCTCATAAAGACGAGTTTGGAGTAATGGGAAGAAAGCCTGACTGGAATAAATTGAAGAGAATGAGAAGAGCAAAATTGGAGACATGGAGTGTAGCCTATTCTTTCAAAGCAGCTTGGTGTAAAGGAAGAAGAGAAATGGAGCGGCAACTGGAGGAGGAATGAGGCCAAGATACGTGTGTGTGTGTGTGTGTGTGTGTGTGTGTGTTGTTGTTGTTGTTGTTGTTGTTGTTTTGAGATAGAGTCTCACTCTGTCACCCAGGCTGGAGTGCAAGGGCACAATCTCGGCTCACTGCAACCTCTGCCTTCCTGGTTCAAGCAATTCAAGAGACATTTTTGTTGTTGTCATCTTTAATGGAAGAAGTGATGCATAGTTGAAGGCTGCTGGGAATAATCACACCGAGGGGGAAACATTGATGAGAACAGATGAAAAGGCAGAATTGCTGGGGCCATGTGAGTGACTAGGCAAGAGAAGATGGGATCTAGTACACAAATAAAGCAGCTGATCTTAGCCAGGCCCATGAATACCTGAGTTAACAGGATAGAACATTGGACAGACTCAACTAATGAGTCTTCGGCTGTGTGCACCTGTGGATGTCTCCTAGATTATTTCGGTCTTCTGTAAAAAGAGAAAGGAAAATAGGAAGAGAGGTCATCAGCTAGAGTAAGAATGGGAAGGTGCTGAAGTTCCAAGGGGAAAAGAGAAACCATGAAACACTCGGGAGACTTAGAGGGCGAATAAATGAGAGAAATGGAGTCTAAGTCCTGGGCAGCATTAAGGACCTGCTAGTAGCTGATGAACACAAATGTAAAGTGAAGTCAATTGACATGTGTGTTTTTCTCCAAACCCCTTGAGCTGTACCTATGCAGGTGCCAAATAGGTCTGAGAACAGTTTTCAGTAGAGTAGTAGTGAAAGAAGTCAAACTGGGATGACTTGAAGAGGAAATGGGAGGTGAGGAAGTAGACAGCCCAGATTTAGACAACTGGTTCCATAAGTCACTATAGATCACAGCTAAGAAATGACACATTTGGAAGGAAATGTGGGACTGGGGAATGTAAGGTATTTTTCTTAAAGGTGGAAGACACTGGAGCCTGTTTGTATGCTGATAGACTGATACAGTAAAAAAGAAGAAACTGATGACACAGAAGCGAGAGAGACTCATGGAAGGGATAAAGTCCCTCAGAAGGAGACAGGGTATAGGACACAGAGCACACATACAGGAACTGGCCTCTGATGTGCATACGCAGAGTAGACTTATAGGGAAGACTGACAGGAAAATCAGCCTATCTGCTCTGAGCTTTTTTTGTTACTGTTTTTGTTTTTGAGACAGAATTTTGTTCTTGTTGCCCAGGCTAGAATTCAGTGGTGCCATCTTGGCTCAGTGCAGCCTCTGCCACCCCAGTGCAAGTGATTCTCCTGCCTCAGCCTCCCGAGTAGGTGCGTGCCACCTTGCCCAGCTTATTATTATTACTTTTTTTAGTAGAGACGAGATTTCGCCATGTTGGCCAGGCTGGTCTCAAACTCCTGACCTCAAGTGATACGCCCACCTTGGCCTCCCAAAGTGCTGGGATTACAGGCATGAGCCACCACACCTGGCTGAGAGCTTTTATTTTCTTTCTTAAAATTTTTCACTGACAAATTAAAAATTACATGTATTTATTGTGTACATGTTGTTTTGAAATATGTTTACATCATGAAACGTCTAAGTTAAGCTAATATATGCACTACCTCACATATTTATGTTGAAATCTATTCTGTTAGCAATTTTCAAGAATTCAACACACTGTTAACTGTAGTCACCATGTTGTACAACAGATCTCTTGAAATTATTTATCCTAAATTTTTCTGTCTTTTGACCAGTATTTCCCTCAGCAGTCCCCCGTGCCCCACCACCCAGTAATCACCATTCTACTCTCTGCTTCTGTGAGTTAAACTCTTTTACACTTCACATCTAAGTGAGATCAGGCAGTATGTGTCTGTCTGTGCTTGCCTTATTTCACTTAACATAATGTCCTCCAGGTTTAGCCATGTTGTCCCAAGTGACCAACTTTCCTTCTTTTTAAATGCTGAATCATATTACATTATGTATATGTATCACATTTTCCTTAGGCAGTCATCTATTGATGGACATTTAGGTGGGTTCCGTATCTTAGCTAGTGTGGATAATGCTGCAGTGGACATGGGAGTGCAGATACATCTTTGACACACTGGTTTCATTTTCTTCGGCTATATACTCAGACTGGGATTGCTGGACCCTATTTTCTTAATTATAAGACAAAGTAATTCATTGAGAAGAAGAGAGCAGATGGTGTGGAACAACTATCTGGAAGAACAGGTAAGTATACTCACTATGGACGCAGAGTAGAATTCATGGCCGTGTTCGTTTGAGGTTTATTATCCAGAATTTAAGGTTTAAAGCATCAATTTAATCAGTCTGGTTCTGTGATTTTCTTATCCAGAATTTAAGGTTTAAAGCATCAATTTAATCAGTCTGGTTCTGTGATTTTCTTCAACAAGTAGCAACTGAGCAGGTGGAGAGTTGAGTTCACCAGGGAAACATTCAAGCCTTCAGGGCTTCATCCATTAAAAATATCCTATCTTTAGAACCCAGGGAGGGTGGTGGCAGAAAGGAGAACGAGAAAGTGACACTATGTGTTATTCAGATTGCCGATCCCTCTGAGTGAGTTTCTATTTTAAGAGCCTGGATGTCAATAGCGCTTAATTTAATCAGCTTCTTACAGGTTAAGAGGGAAATTGAAAATCTTAGTACTGAGACAAGTTTTCATCAGAAGCTCAGACTAATGAGCTGAGAGTGTTACAGGGTAAAGGAGGATGACTTATCTATTTATTCCCAAAGACAGTTATGACACTGCTGGACAAATTCTTTGACCTGGACCCTGTTTACCTGGATATTATTAGGGTCTGCTGGTTGCTTGTCTTGGGATCTTTTCTTCCACAAGCTATCATTTCTTGGACTGGCCTGCAGAATCTTCCCATTAGCTCTGAGGTCAGTCCAGACCTTAGGACAAGAAGATTTTTGGAGCTCTTGTTCAGAACTCAGTAGACTCTAATCTCTTTACTCTGACATACAAGCCTTTTATATAATGTGGCTTCAACCTACTTTCCCAGATTCATTTCCCACCACTCCAGTTACACCAAGCTGCTTGTAGATCCCTAATGATGTCTATCTTCAACAATCCCCCCTCTCCACCTCTGACAGCTTTCGCGGCCTTGTCCACTGGGGAGCGGTTATTGTTCCCTCCAGGCTCCTCAAATGTTCTCTCTCCAAGCTTTCTCTGATTCTGTTCCTCCTGTTTTCTCATCAGCACTTAGTATCTGGCTCTCCAAGCACTTATCACATCAGGTGATTCATGTACTTGTCTACACAGTGTTTCTTCAGCGACTATGTCAAATTTATCTCTGCAGGCCCAGCACTTAGCACAATGCCTTGCATATAATGAGCACTTATGTTTGAAAACTAACAGCATCAGATCCAATTTGCTGTGAGAAAAACAACAACTCTAGAAAAAGAGCCTCTACCTTTTTCCTAAAATAAAACCCCAAACTGATTCTAAGATCTGTAACAGTTTGACAGATAGTAAAGCAATTAAGTTTTGGGGTTCTAGTCGGAGACCTGAGCTTAAATCCCAACTCTACCGCTAATGAGTCAGGTACCACTTTGCGCCTCGGTTTCCTCATATGTTTAATAATGAACATAACAGAATGGATTTCATAAGCTTGCTGGACAAATTAGTGAAGACAGCGCATGCAATGTGCCCTCTCAGTGTTCGCAGTGCACAGCATATAATGGGAAATCAACACTAGTTATCATGATCACTTATGAACTGTAATTCTCTGGAAGCTAGATTCTTACTGATTTATCTCTGAATCTTCATCTTGAAGTCTTCAGCATTTTTTGTTCCTCAATGAATGCATCTCTGCCTTGCATTCCCTTTTTCCCTTCTCCCCTCCCCCTGCATTCAAACTACCACCCCAAGATGATGGTAGCAAACTAGCACCTGGTTAGCCACCTCACCAACTTCACTGCCGGTCTGGATCTCTCAACACTACTTTGCGAAGTTCCCTAATGCCGTATTCTACCTTCCTGCCTCTGCAGACACCATCATCTCTGGTGGGGTGTCCTCCTGACTCCAGCTTTTCCTGGGCTTCCTCTCCCTGGCTATCTGTAATCCTTAGCCTTCCTGGTTGTCTTTCCTTCCCTTCTCTATTGAATCTACTCCAACTCCAATATCTGCCCCACCCCCAGCTTTTCCATCTCCCTGTGGGTCTGTACGGAGTGCCACGGTTAACCGTATTTCCCATCTGTGGCCACAGTGTACATCTTATATTTGCTGTGGGCACTTTTGCGGAATCCTATCACTGCCACCAAGAGAGTATGCTGACTCAGCTAAATCTCTTCAGATTCTTTTCTAACAAGGATCCCCAGACAATCACATGTATTAGATCAGACTACACTTTGTTACTTTTAACCAGAGCCATCTAAATAATCCATTCACATCTTCCCAGCTGGAGCTCAAAAGTGAAAGCATTCTGGCTGTAGTAGATGGTGGTGAAAAAAACAAGGGCTTTGGCTTTTTAGTCAAATGGTCTTCCCAGTCAGAGCTTTAGGCCTATGTGATAGTCTGACTAGAACTCTCCATCCCTCTACCAAATAATCTGAGGAAATTAAGTAGATTACCAGCAGATGTAAATATGTGGAAACAAGGAGAACTCCATATTCTAAATGTTTACATGTTTCCCAAGCCTCAAAGTTAGAAATGACCTTAGCCTATTCATTTAATTCTTTCAAACTAAAGTCTCAGTCAATTGAAATGGCAAATTTAGCCAAGACAGAGAGAGAGGGAGAGAAAGACAGAGACAGAGAGAAAGGGAAGGGAGGGAGGGAAAGAAAAAATAAAGAAAGCCCAAAAGCTTCCCTGGAACTGATCATTTCTAGATAAACAAATTACCCTTAAGATAGAGCTGCCAGGAATGAATTAAACAGGCATTCGCTTCCACACCATCAAATGCATTAACAACTTTATAAGACTATTTTTTCTTTTCACTCTCTTAGAATTTTGTACACATTTGCATGGACTTGTAAGAAATAACTTCATACATAATAATTATGTTCTGATTATATAATCACATTCTATAAAGAAGACATACATAGACCCAAGGCCCTCTATAACCTACAATAAAATACTTCTGTTACCGAAAATGCATTTCCTGCAAAACAAAAGAGAGATGATTTTTATTTGCTAAGGGGAGAAATCACAGGGCGATAAAATTATTCCATTCATCGTATTAGTGGTTAGTTAACCAGACATGGGAAGGGAGGTAAAGGATTAGGGGAGAAAAATCACTGTTCACAACATTTTGAGTGATGATTCGTTCAACAATCACAATTCTCTTCCTCCATGTTTAAAAAGGAGCAGAGCCAAGAGGAACTGCATTGTGCTTTCTAGGCTTGCAAAGGATGCCACCCAGACAATTTGGAGAAGGTAGGGGGAAGAAGAGCCCAGATCTCTTCTAAGGCTTCAGCTTAAAGCTTCCATGGGGATTGGAGTAGAAATTGACTACACATCTGCATTCCAGCAACCCACTCCCACGTTTAAGCTGCTATCCCCAAGTGCCTGTTACTAAATATAGCTCCTGCCTTTCAGACTGACAGGAGAGCTCCCGCTGTGTATACCCAGAGCTGAATCTTCACACACTCCTAATATGGTCAGCCCTGCAGCCTATCAGCCCAAGAGCACAGAAGGGAAGCAGTGCTGCCTTTACAGGCTTCCTAAGGTTAACCCTTTCGTGGAAGACAGGATGGAAGAGATTGACCACTGGGAGCTGCAGATTCTCTGGTTAAAAATAATGCATAAAATCGACATGATCTGGAAACCAGGATGCAGTCTGCTTTCCAAATACAAATGCTTATGGATAGTAAGCATTAGATGGAGGAAGCAGGGCAAAAGGAACTGCCTAAACTCCATGGGTCCTTGACATGAAACAGGTGAAGAAAAACAAAGGCAGGAAAGAAAACATTCACAGGAGGGTGGTAAAGGCAGTAGAAACAAGGGGACTGACCAGCGTGTGCCACCCCTTCCCTAGAGACTGTGTATCTGTTCTGTGGGAGCAGCTGCTGCCCAGGACAAAGAGGAAAACAGGTGTCCCTGCAAACTTTCCAGCAGACCCAGTAGAAAGCACAGAATGGGTTCTGTGGGCCTGTCAATATGCTTCCCAGTATTTATGAGATCCCACCACCCAAAGACAGGGACTGTAACCACCCAGCGGGGTATCCTTGCCCGCTGCCTAGACAGAGCTGATTTATCAAGATAGGGGAATTGCAATAGAGAAAGACTTCAATTCATGCAGAGCCAGCTGTATGGGAGCTAGGAGTTTTATTATTCCTCAGATCAGGATAATTTGGTAGGTAGGGTGTCAGAAAGTGGGGAGTGCTGATTGGTCAAGTCAGAGATGAAATCATAGGGAGTCGAAGCTGTCCTCTTGCTCTGAGTCAGTTCCTGGGTGGAGTCCATAAGCCCAGATGAGCCAGTTTATAGATCTGGGTGGTGCCAGCTGATCCATCGAGTGCAGGGTCTGCAAAACATCTCAAGCACTGATGTTAGGTTTTACAATCGTGATGTTATCCTGAGGAGCAATTTGGGAGGTTTTGAATCTTGTAGCCTCCACATGACTCCTAAACCATAATTTCTAATCTTGTAGCTAATTTGTTAGTCCTACAAAGGCAGTCTAGTCCCCTGGCAGGAAGGGGGTTTGTTTGAGAAAGGGTGGTAATTGTCTTTGTTTCAATGCTAAACTATAAACTAAGCTGCTCCCAAGTTAGTTCAGCCTACGCCCAGGAACGAACACGGCCAGCTTGGAGGTTAGAAGCCAGACGGAGTCTGTTAGGTCAGATCTTCGTCACTGTAATCATTGTCTCAGTTATAATTTTTGCAAAGGTGGTTTCAGGACCAGTCTATATTTCAAAGAGCTGATCAGAGGCCAAAGGTTCTGGAAGAAATAATAAGGAAACAGCCAGCAGTTAGGCAATGAATGCCCCTAATAACTTGCTCAAGTGTTACTGTGAAATACTAAAATCTTCTTCCTACCTCTGGGAAAAAGGGAAATCTCTGTGCTGGCTTCCCAGTAAGAGGGCTGTTAGAACTGGCGAGTTCCTTTCTGAGAGAGAGTGATGTATAATCAAATGAAGTTAAGTTTCAAGATGTTGATGCTCAGAGCACAGATTTTTGCTGCTGCTTCTCAGAGTTTCATGGGTGTCCATAATTTGGTAGGGGGGTTATATGAATGAGAGATGGAAAGGATAAGGACTCTTGGTAAACAGCATCAAGTATTTATTCACTCAAGTGTTCAAATGAGGGCACTCTTGAAGGTGGGTCCCGTCCCGCTCCTCACTGCAGGCCGACAAGGCTGTGATTATTTGCCTTCTGAAGTCCTAGTTAGAAAAATGGTTTTCTACATTTTTATCAAGGCCAGAATTCCAAGAAGCACATTAGAGGTAATTCCAAATTAGAAATGACAGTGGTTAGGCTTATTTGGACAAAAAGCGTGTCCTAAACTGCTAGATATCTTCCTCCTCCTAATAAAAAAATGGTTGGGCACATGCAGTGAATTTCTCTGCTGTCCAGCCCAGGTTTGTGTCTGTTCTACTGCCTCTCTCGGGGCAGGGCAGGGGGTGGGGTGTCAAGGACCCCACCTTTTGTCCCACTCAAAAACCAGGGTGGTTTTTGAGCGGGACAGGTAGATGGGAGTTCAGCAGAGTCTCAAGTTGCAAACAGCTATTCTTCTGCTGAGTACTAAACCCCAGGCAGCCGTGGAAGAAAGGCTCCCTCCTGGCACAGGTGAGACCTGCCTCAAAGGCTCTTTGCTTGGGTAAGAAAAAAGAAAGATAGCCACCTGCAGCTTTGGCTTGGCTTTCTCGTGGCTCTTGGCCATTGGCCATGCTCTGTCACCTCTGGTAACCTCCTGGTAACCCACATCTGACCCTTCAAGGTCACCTACCTCCCACCTAAGTCTTTCTGTGTTCCAAGAGGTAGGGTGGGCAAGGTCTACCCTGCTTCCCCCCTCCCCCTCCCCCACAACACACAGATGATTTTCTTCTTTACCTTTGTTGTTGCATAAACCCACAAGTGGGACACTGAATTCCTCTCAGAGCCTTTACTTTTAATCCAAATGATCCCTACAAGTAAATAAACAAAACTGTAATTAACCATTTGTTTCCTTTATGGTTTTAGATACAGCAATCCTGATTCTTCTTTTATCAATGTGGTAGCCTCTAGCAATTGCAGAAAGTATTAGGAAATTTGATGAAGGAAGAACAGCATAGAAAATAATAGATAAGATATTGTCTTGTACTAACTAATAGACACTATTACAAAAGGAATAAATGGCATGCAATTGGCAGAAAAGGACCACCAAGAGGAAGTTAAAAGCATTACTTGAGGCTGGGTGTGGTGGCTCATGCATATAGTCCTAGCACTTTGGGATGCCTCGGCAGGGGGATCCCTTGAGTCCAGGAGTTCGAGTTTGGGTGACTGTGTGAGACCCTGTCTTGTCTCTTAAAAAAAAAAAGAAAAAAGGCTACTTACTTATTTTCAATAAAGCATAGATAAGCTTTGTCAGAACTTCTTTCAATACCTGTGTTTGTAGCCCAAATGAAAAACTTAAAAAGGTTAAGGGATGCTTCTTTCAAGTTCTTTCAGTGGTTACAGTCAACATTACTAAATCAGAACCTCAAAGCTACAACCCAACTTTAGGCAGCCTGCCCCACCCCACACAGGGTTGGGGAACATATCTATAGAAAACGTTGGTACTACTTTGGAGCTTTGCATGTCAGGAATACCAGAGTCCTTTAAAAAATGTGGACCATGACGGGCAGATCATGAGGTCAAGAGATCGAGACCATCCTGGTCAACATGGTGAAACCCCATCTCTACTAAAAATACAAAAAATTAGCTGGGCGTGGTGGTGCACGCCTGTAGTTCCAGCTACTCGGGAGGCTGAGGCAGGAGAATTGCTTGAACCCAGGAGGCGGAGGTTGCAGTGAGCCGAGATCACACCAACTGCACACCAGCCTGGCACCTGGTGACAGAGCAAGACTCACTCTGTCTCAAAAAAATGTGGACCATGAACATAGCATGTTCTTATTTGCAAATGGTTTTATATTGGAAATGATTAAAAAATAAGATTTCTTTACTTCATTCAACAATTACGAGTTCTGCTCCAAGTTATTCTCTATTGTTAGCTGATAGAGATAATTTAACGACTAAAGGGTTCCTACTCATTGGAGCTGTTAGTGGAGGAAATAAAAAGTAAAAATAAATACTGATTTTTATCATTACTGTGAAGGGACTAAATAGAGTGATATGATGAATAAGATAATACCTACAATAGGGGTACTCCTTTAGAAAGTACAGTCAGAGAAAGACCTCTCTAAGAATAGTACACTTTAAGACAGAACCAGTTTAGGATGAGAAACAGAAGCAATATCAGTGCATGGCTTGAGTCTTTGGCAAAACGAGGGGAAGGAGGAGAGAGGTAAGGCTGGTCAGTAGGGAGGGAACAGAAAAGGCCACAGAAAAAGTTGACATTTTAATTCTAATTTCAGTGGGAAGGCATGGAAGAGATCTTAGCAGAGAAGGAATGTGATCCGAATTCCAGGTTTAATGTCAACAATCTCTAAATTGTGCTGTGATTATTAATAACTGCAGCTTTATCATCAAATCGATAACAGTGCAGATACCCAGATACCTGCGGTGCGCCTACGTGTTTTCCCCCCTCGCCCCCTCCCCCACAACACACACATGGTCTTTTTCTTTGCCTTTGTTGTTGCATAAGCCTGCAAGGGGGACACTCAAGAGGCTGTTGCAAGTTTAGCCTCTTAAAGTTTGAAGATTCTGCATCAGGAGGAACTGAGTAATTTTGGAAGTTAATCTGTATCCCAGAATCCCAGGTAGAAATGCTCCTTTATTCTCCCTCTGCAGAGCTAGTGAGTGTCGTCCTCTCTGATTATATGCAGGAACATAAACAGCTCCCGCGGCCAACCTAGATAGATGAACTGACCCTCCAGGATCAGAACAGCACTCACCAAACTTTCTGGCACCAGGGACTGGTGTCATGGAAGACAGTTTTTCCATGGATTGGGAGGGTGATGCTGGGGGAAAGTGGGGGTGAAAGAGGGGTAGCGGGAGGGATAGCTTAGGGATGGAATTGTTCTACTTCAGATCATACCAAGCGTTAGATTCTCATAAGGAACACACAACCCTAGATCCCTTGCATGTGCGGTTCACAGTAGGGTTTCTGCTCCTGAGAACTGAATGTCCTGCGGATCTGACAAGAGGTGGAGAGCTCAGGTGGTAATGCTCACTTGCCCACTGCTCACCTCCTGTTGGGTGGTCTGGTTCCTGGCAGGCCAGGGAGTGGTATCAGTCTGTGGCCCTGGGGTTAGTAACCCCTGATGCAGAAGACCTGTTACCCTGATCTTGGTACTATATTCCAGGCCTAGGAAACTAAACTGGTAAAGACAAGTAAACTTCCTATTTCAGACATCAGGCCTGGGAATCGACTGTCAGTAAAACAGTACATGAAGAATAAAAGAATTTCAGCAGTGGTGCTGTGGGTCAGCTTTTATCCCTATGATTTTGGCTAATATCTTGATGGTGTTTTTATAGCTACTGATACCACAGGTCGTTAGCACTTAGGTGAAAACATCTACACTGAATTCCTTCCTGCCTGAGTCTAACTTCTGGTGACTTGGGAGTGAAGAGAGAGGCGGCTAACAATATTTAATTTGGAATGGGCAGAGATATATTTTTGTGGGTAGAGATTTTTCTCTGCAGGGTTGACCACCTAAACTTTTAAGAGCTACAAATGGAGAATGACATGCTTCCCATGCCATTGGCAAGGCCTCGAGGGTCTCCATAAAGCTTCACTTAATATTCATGAGGTTTCTTTCATGCATGCCCTCCTTAGTCTCAGGCTACAGAGAGCCTTAGGTAGAGGTGCTTATGAAGTACTCTCTGATGAATGGAAGCATAAATCTTGAGTTTAATTACTAATGCTATTCAGCTCCAAGACGAGCTGACATGCCCTTTGTAGGGCTTTGAGTTGGTAAAGCCAGGGGATCAATATCAGTTTAAAGGCTGTTTCTCACTGTTCACACTTAGAGCACAACAAAGGAAAGAATTCTTCTAGGAAAGAGCAGAGAGATCCGTGTCTTCAAAAGTGGGTAAAGATGTAGACAATAACCATTTTTCACAATAACAACAGCAGAACCATTATGTGTTTTAAACACAGATTTAAGGGGTGGGTTTGTGTGAATGTGTGCATTTGGCAAAGTTCTCAAGAGCTGTTCTTTCTTCATGGGGGGAAAAAAAGAAACTCTTAATAAAGGCCAAGGAAACTATTTCAGCCAAGAAAGGATTGCAATGGCTTGTAATGTAACTCATGAAATAATTGTAGCCAGAGCCAGAAAATGCAGTCATTGGGAAAGCCTCAGTAAGAACAAGATTGTGAGGGGCCCCAGACAGCTGTGCTTTCATCTTTACAGTCTCTACCACAGGAAAATGACCTTATGATGGCTCTCTAGACCTATATTTCTTTATGAAAGAAAGTACTAGAGGGAATAAGAAAATTATAGACAGGCCCTAAAAATGGAATAGAAGAGGAAGTTCTTTTGCATTTACTTAGAAAATAATTAAACTCTTTTGAAATTATCTTTTTTTTTGATACGGAGTTTTGCTCTTGTTACCCAGGCTGGAGTGCAATGGCACGATCTCGGTTCACTGCAACCTCCGCCCCCTGGGTTCAGGCAATTCTCCTGCCTCAGCCTCCTGAGTAGCTGGGATTACAGGCACGCGCCACCGTGCCCAGCTAATTTTTTGTAGAAATTATCTTTTATCTTAAAGTACAAAAGAGGCCCTTGGGGAGGAAAGAGACCATAGCCAGGACACATGGTCAGATGAGGCCTTCACAAGCCAATTGCTGAAATCATGAAATTAAAAGCCATTGATTTAATTAGGTCACCTCAGCACTTTGATCAGGGAGACCATTTACCAAGTGTGAAGTTGCTTGATATTTGGCTATTACAACAGAAGGAAGAAAAGAAGGATCAATAGTTGAAGAAGCACTCATGGATATGCACAGAGACCAAGCACTTAATGAGCAGGTGAGTGGGCCCCGTGCTTGCTGGGGTCTGGATTTGCGTTCGCTCTCCTCAGAAGCCTGTCTCTGTGCTGTTCTGTACTGTGGAGGCGGCTGACTCCTACACACTGTCTAGGCTCCTGGTTGGAACTGAGACCAGAGTGTAGGAGGAAAGACAGATATGGGTATTTTCCTCTGCTCTGCCCTCTACTTTCACTGCTAAGCTCTGACAAGGCAGCATCCTCTCAGGCCACTGCCTCCTGGCCTCTAGTTCCCACGGGCTCTGGAAACACCATTCCCCTGCCATTCGGCTCCGCAGGTGATAATGGCTTTCTGCTCTTGCCAATCTCTGGTTGCCCCACCATCTCCCTTCACCCTAGCCACACCTTTCCCAAGAGCGCCTCTTACATTCGCTTCACTCAAACCTCTGGAGTTGAACTGCTTTTCCTGCCAGAACACTGAATCATATAGTCCTAAATACCACATCACGCATACAAAAGGACTACAGTTGTATTCTAAGGCAAATGGCTACAGGATACCATCGGTACCTTATTTAGACGCAGTGTTTCTGTGTGAGGATCTTGCGACATCAGTACAGAACTCAGATTCGCAGTTTGTTTTGTTTTCAGCAGGGGTCCATGTTCTTTCTGTAGGCATGATAGAGGTCTGGGCCAGAGCTCCAGATATCCATTATAAAATCTACATTACTGGGAGCCCAGAAAGATGAAACAGCAGAGGTTGGTTGTAGCAAATTTTCCGAGTAGTGTTAATGTTACAGTCTTGCAAATGCACCACAATGTAGCAGTCTTTTCTTTGAGGTATCCCAGAGTTCTTTGCCTCCTGACCCAGAAAATTAAGGAGTGTGGACACAAAGGGTGAGGTTGGAATGAAAGTTTAATAACTAAATGGGAAGGGGAGGACTCTGCTGACTGGTCTGCAAGCCATTTTGGAAAAAGCACCACTTACAAAGATGTATCAGAGTATAAAGAACCAATTAGAGGCAGAGCTGAAGGACTGGCCCGGGACCTTGGCCTGGGACGGATCAGGGGCTAAAGTGATGACTCACCCTATGTAAATGAAGACTTAGCCCACAGCTAATTACAGAAAGGTAGGCTTGTGTAAAATAGGCAAAAGTAAGTGACTAAGGCATACCAAGGAGAGAGAAATGTGTCCAAAAAGGGATAGAATTTGTTCATCGGGGTTCACAGAGTGTTTCCATTCAAGGAGACAGGCTCTTTCTCATCTAGGGCCTACAGTTTGATTTTCTGGCTGTTCTTTGAAGAAATTTTTATTAAGGGCCCACCTTAACTGCCTGCCTGGCTGGTTTCTTTCTTTCTCCTAAGAGAGTTTAGGACTTGACAAATATTTTCCAAAGAATTATTTAGAAAGGAATAGAGGCATTGTGCATTTGCTTTCCCCCAGCTATGAGAAGGTAGTCAAGACAAGAGACTGGTGAACAGATGAGAGAGAAAGGAGAGAGGAAAGAAAGAAAGGGTTGCGGAGGTGGTGGGGAAAAGTGAGAACTATAAATTCTTTCTTAAATTTCAGCCAGGGCTAGTAAATCTTCTTTTTTTAGAAAACTGAATAATTTTATTTGCAGAATTAATGCCAAGATTTTGGCTATGCAAAAAGGGCCAGCCTACATACTTAATTTATAACCTGGAACTGACAGGCCTTTCCTGAACAACTCTATCTAAAGTATTTCACCCTCCCCTATCCTTGGTCCTCCCATAATCCACTGCCCATGATATGCTTCATTGTCTTCACCAGCACTTGGCACCACATAACATTACATGACAGTGCCTATGTGTTTGTTGATTGTCGGTCTTGCATCTGGAGGCCAGGTGTGCTGTATGCTGGTTCACCAGCACCAGGTAGACTGTGGGCATCAAGGTTCATGTGAACGGGGGAACCCAGCAAGGCTGGAAACCTGTGGTAGTGATTTCTCCTGAAAGGCACATGGATGGGTGGTTTTGACCAAGCAGCTGTGATTACATTTTGTCTCAGGAAGTCTGAATCCAGGACACTTACTTATTCAAAGGCATTTCTCTCCAAAAATTACTTTTTTGTGAAAACCTGTTTCAGGGATTGATTCACATGTTGTTTGTGGCAGAGAATGAAGTGTCTCTTTTCTCTTCCTTAGTGCTGTGTTTTCTTCCTATGAAAAGAAAAAAGAAAAGACTCCAGATGGAGAGCCTCAAATTGTCGGCAGATTTTTTGAAATTCCCCTGGAATTTGTATTGGTGATGCAGAGCTTGGTGCAGACTGACAAGTGAGTAATCTTCTATCTTATCGCTTTAATTTCAGGCTTCAGAGATGCCCAGCTCTGTTGTTCAAAGAGTTTTATTAAAAATTTGTGAGGAGGGAAAAGCAGTCGCTGTGGGTCTGTCTGATTTCATTATCTCTGACAGAGCGCACAGATGGAGCGGAGCCAGTGAAAGGCCACAGCCAGCCATTCAAGGTGCTGGGCTAAAGCAAAGGCCTCTGGAGCCTCCCTGCACTGATCATACATGTTCTAATCTGTTGGGATCTGTCTTAGTCCATGTTCCATTGCATGTAACAGAATGCCTGAAACTGGGTAGTTTCGAAAGAAAAGGAATTTATTGCTTACAGTAATGAAGGCTGAGAAGTCCAATGTCACAGAGACACATCTGGCGAGACGGGGACTTGCTGGTGGGGCCTCTCTGCAGCATCCCCAGGCAGCACAGTGAACCACATAGTGAGGGTGCTCAGCATGCCAGCTCACGTTTCGCTTCCTCTTACAAAGCCAGCAGTTCCACACCTGTGATAACTCATTAATCTAAGAATCTATGAGTGGATTAATCCATTCATGAGGGCAGAGCCCTTATAACCCAAACACCTCTTAAAAGACCCATCCCTCAATACTGCCACATTGGAGATTAAGTTTCAACAGGAGTTTTGGAGGGGTCATTCAAACCATAGCAGGATTTCTCATACACGAATCTCGATACATAACCCAGTGTACACTTCTCAGTTATTAAACTGCAGCAGTCTATTCACAAGACAGACCTACTAATCCCCAGACTTCAACTTGCTTCACTTAGTGCAATTTTTGCTGTTGCTCATCTCACTTGCAAAACTGCCTTCTCTGATAATTTTTCCTGTGTCCAGATTGAGCGACAAGCTGCCAACAGTTCCTCTGCCAGCTTTGATGCATAGTTGGAATCTAGCATTCAATAAAGGCATTCGGATTGCATTCAGACGATGTTTGAATCATCCGAAGGCTAGCTACAGACCTCACAATACTCTCAAAGGCAAGGATTGGCCTGATGCACCGACTAAGCTGGAGGTCCTAGGGAGAGGGCAGACTGGCTTTTCTGTCCCATCAGAAGGAGCACTAGGTCATATGAAGACAGCCCAGGCAAACAATCTGCCCCTTCCCATACATATTTTTCTAGTTGCCAAGAGGAGTCTCCAGCTTTAAGAGTGGCCATACTGAAAGATGTCCAATGGAGGTTTGTAAAGAACTGGGAGGAGTGCACTGGTAACACAGAATGGGCAAGAGTGCAAAATATGCAGGTAGATGGTGAAGAGCCCCAGCCCCAGAGTCTGGATTTAAACCCTAGCATTTCTCAACTCACAAGAAATGGTAAGCTCAATGGAGAGCTTTCTAAAAATGCCCACGTCTGGGCACAACCCCCCAGAAAATTAAACTAGACTCAAATTAGAACCTCTGATACTACCTAAAAGTTTTAGCACAATGTGTAAGGTTGCATGATTCAATATATTAAAAGTCTGGGAAAACTATAAATGCAGAAAATGCAAAGCAAATGAAGAAGGTGGGTTTCTTTGCTTCCCCTGGCCACAGTCACTCTGAGAGGTGACGGTGGCATTGCCAGAACCAAAGGGTTTCCAACCAAAGAGAAAAGTAGAGCTAGGGTGACCCAGGACAGGGAGGGCTACCTCCTGCTCAGGCCCCAGGATTCCATAGCTGCCTTGAGGTCTTTGGAAACTCCCAGGTCTGCGCTCAAGGTTATAAAACTACCTCATCTACCTAAGGCCAGGTAGCACTACCTTTTATTCTTTGTTAAAATTCCACTGACCACCAATGGTAGAAGTATTGCCACTTTTTCAATAGACTCCTTCCATCTTATCTAAGAACTTTGTTCTTGCTTAACCTAACCTATTTATTTCCTTGCAGAAGAGAAAGAAGATGGCTTTTTTTCCCTTATATATTAGGGGCTGTATTAAACTTGACAGTGGTACAGATTTTCATTCAAGGATTCATCCCCCTATGCAGTGGGGTTGCACGGGGTACTATCTGTAGAGCTACAGGTGATAGCCTTGGTCCTAACGACCCTGAGGGTATACAAAGATTAGAGAAGCATGCTACAAAGTGCAAATGAGTGAATACAGACACACACACACACACACACACACACACACACACACACACACGAAGCCATTAGCATGACAAAGGAACATCGCAGCAATAACAAAACCAGGAGAAGACCCATTTTCTTTTCTTTTTTCCTAAGTGAACTCAGCAAGGGTAGAGAATGACCCGTTTTAACTTAGACAGTGATCAAATGGTTCATGAAAACCATGATTTTCACTGTTGCTTCTCCAGTCCAAGAAATTATGCTTTTCTTTGAAGAGCTGATATTGCACTCTAAATGATATATTTGGCACTAGAATTCAGTGTTCTGTTTCTCTGTAGGATGATAATGGAGACTGGATACACGTCTCTTTCTCAAGTTATATAATTAGTAACTCTACACCATGCAAAATTAAAAAAGAAAAATGTCCTGCTGCAAGACGGCATCTCAGGAGGCAAAGCTGACGTTGTTCTGTAGGTTTCAAGTTATTTAGTATGACAGCTTCTTTAGCCGAGTCATTACTGTTTGCTGCTTCTGTTAATATTGCCATTATTATTATTATTAATCACTGTGAAGAGGAAATATCACCATAGAAACTTGGAGGCTGGAGAGCAGAAGGGAGAGAGGGAATGGCTCCAACACAGATGCTCAAAACCACAGCTCTCTGCGTCTCCTGAGAAGCCTTTGAAGAAAACACTCAGAAAGGTATTTTCTTCAAAGAGAAGAATTTAGGATTCGGTTTTCTATCTCTAGTTTTCAGGAGGCCCCAGGGCATGTCACAGTTCACTCTTCAGTGAATAACCCCATGGAGGGCAGGGCAGACCAAATAAGAAAAGAAACGAAATGAAGATGGGCACTGCATCTGTAATGGGATAAGTCGACCAGTCCCCTTTTCTTCTCCTTTTGGTTCTTCAGGTATGTAATTAATATTTCTTATCCACAGACTCAAGATGCCCTTTTCCAGAACATGTAATCTTAAGTTGACTTAATAAGCTGTACTTCTGATCTCAGATCTTCCTACACATTGGGTTTCAGTTCACTCACCACATCTGGGGATTCACAGAGGTCTAGGCCACTCTTGGTCATAATTAGGAACTGACTTGGGCAACACCGGGAATCAGAACTTTTTTTAAAAAAAAAGTATTTCCCCTGAACAAAGAGAAGTTCCTCCTTTGGCGAAACACATCTTTGCAGAACTAATGGTTAATTTCTTGTTTACTTAGAGGGCATTTTATCTCCTCCCTGGAATCTCAATTAGACAAGTAGGGCCCCTTCCCCACCTCATTCTCCCCTCACCCCAGACACACACACTTGCTTTCAACCTCTTTGCTGCTGAAGGTGTCCCTTTGCTTTGGCACACGCACAAGGGGAGAACAGTCTCTTCAAGGATATCTTTTAAAGTGAGAAGAGCAGGGTCGGCAACTGCAACCACAGCAAACAGTCCACATCCAGGGTGCACAGTCTTGCCTCATAGGTGAGAATTCGGGCCAATTCAAATATTTCCAAAACACCTCTCAGAGCCAAACACTGAGCCCTGGGCTCTTAAGGAGCAAACACTGCAGTCCTCAACTCAGGGATGCAGCCCTCCCTGTTTATGTTTGATTAGGTTCACATAGGAATATTGACAGTCCATAGATTTTAAGTTACTACTAGGTCTCGTCTCTGAGATTTTCAGAACTCCATACCATCGCTGTGATTGGATGCAGTCTGTACTAAACTCTTAATAATCATCATTAATGTTTAATAGAACCAAGCAATGTACAAGCTGCTATTACATTCACTGTGTCTGGTACATAGTAGGTACTGTGAAATGAGAAATGGATGAATGCAAAATGACGCAATTTTTAAGTGATTAAAATGACCGGGGGATGTTGAGAACTTTCCATGGTGTTAGTGAGCTTCACTTTCCAGAAGCAATTTCCAAACATTTATATTTATGACGGCATTCCATCTAGATTTCCAAAACAGTTCCCATTTTGATTAGTTTGCCTTCTTGTTACCATAAATACCCTTGTACTGGCCATATTGGGTACCTTGTATTCTTAGTTTACAGTCAGCATAATTAAGACTTGCTGCATTTTTTGCTGCAATAACCAGGCCTCTTAAACATAAAAAGCAGTCCTAGGTCACTCTCAATTTCTAGGCTGCAAGCATACTATATGTGTGTGTATATCTGTGTGTATGAAGATTGCCAAATCAAAGTTACAAAAGTTGTGAGGTGATTTACACATCAGCATTAAACAATTTAATACCTTGAAGCCCCCCAAAATACAATGTAATATAATTGTGCTATTCACCTGAAATTTATATAATTCTGTGTGGGCAGGCACACACACAGACACTCACCCTCTTTGGATGGTGTGGTTTGTTACTGGGTCACCGGTTTAATCATATATAAACATCTTCTGGTCTTGTCCTTGGATCCTATTATTTCTGGCTGGCTAGAAGTTCATTTGGCTATATATATATATATATATATATATATATATATATATATATTTTTTTTTTTTTTTTTTTTAACTGCATTGGTTATCACATTATATATCTAAATGGGAGATGCCATAATGATACTAAATGCGGCTGCCAGGTGAAAGGCCTTAGGGTCCATGCTAATAAACCAGCCCTAAAGATGAGCACAGGTCCCGAGTCAACTGTTGTTCTGCCTAAGAGGAGACAGCACTTTCCCAGAAATGAACTGGGAGCATTGTCTGAGCTCTGTCCTTTGCTGTCCTTGCTTTGAGCTCACAGTTTGGAAAGAGCTGGGAAAAGCCCTGTGGCCTGGAAACAATTTCATAGGCTGAAACGTTTTTAAAACTAACTGCAGAGTTGTTAGAACCTCAGCTATGAGCTCTCTTTTTTCCACAGTACCTTCAAAGGGAGCCATAATAAAGCACAAACAGAATCAGCTTTCAAAAGCTCCCTGGCTTCCCATCTGCTGCTGTGGGCTTCCTGTGGGAAACAGGGAACCACTGGCCTGTGGGAGAGGAATCAACTATTTCCCAAAGCCACTGGAAGAGCACTTTTCAAAGGTAAAAGGAAATCTCATGAAGCTATTAGTCACCAAGCCCACAGTGAACAAGACAGTGGTGGTGAGTTTTAGAGATGTTTTAAAGCATAGGAAGGGAGTGTTACTTCTATGTATATTAGCATTCATAATCTCTGTCCTCAGAAGGCCTATTCCTGGGGCATCAGTACTTACAAGAGTTATGATAGAAAGATTTTCAGATGGGTGCGGTGGCTCACCCCTGTACTCCCAAACACTTTGGGAGCCGAGATGGGCAGATCACCAGAGGTCATGAGTTTAAAACCAGCCTGCCCAATATAGTGAAACCTCATCTCTACTAAAAATACAAAAATAAGCCAGGCATAGTGGTGCACGCCTGTAGTCCCATCTACTAAGGAGGCAAGAGGTTGCAGTGAGCCAAGATATCACGCCATTCCACTCCAGCCTAGGCGACAGAGCAAGACTCCGTCACACACACAAAAAAATTCTACTAAATTAAGGAATAGAAATATAACATGATGACAGTTTAAAATAAGACTTAGGAACTCCCCTATATTCCTTCTCTTCCACCATCCTCCATGAAAGCAGGGAGTGGAGCTGGTTTCATGAAATATCTTTTCTCTCTTAGGAATACCACCCATCCCCTCTGACTCTGTCCTTTTCGATAGCTGTCCAGAGTCTGGGTCATGGTCATTTGGTAAAGCCTTGGGTCAACTTGTTTAATCACCCATATTTATGTTAGTGATTAAACCATGAAGAGAGTGGAAAGCAAGGGATGCCGAGAGTTTAAATACTCTCTCAGCTCCATCGCAGCAGACATCATGGACAAGTCTGAAAAACAAATGTTGTATTGGCCATGCAGTCAGTGTCTCTGAGCTTTCTCTCATATGCCTACCCATAGTACTGAGGAGGGAATAAAATTGCTAGGTAACTAACAATAATAACCATTTTTATTGAGCACTTCTATGTGCAAGGCATGATGTGAAATGCTGTTTATACGTTATTTAATTCGGTTAACTCCTAAGAAGCTTGCATTATTTCTTCCCCTTTTTCATGTGAAAAACAGGTTTAGAAAGGACAAGTGACTTGTCCAAGGTTACATAGGAGTGTTGGTGAACTCAAGATTCAGACTCACACTATTTGACTGTAAAGACTAAGATGAGAGAAAAGGAAACGTGCTGAAATTCTCATGGCATTTATCAACAATTCCAGTCATTTGAGACTTAACATAGTCTACAATGTGTGAACGATCATTTCAAGTTTTATAATCACATTAAGATGGCAAAATCCTTTAGGTCAAAGACTGAGTTTTTTACTTTTTTATATTCTTCAAAGTCCCTAACATAGCAATTTGTACAAAAGAAGCAATTAATAAAAGTGTGCATTAATAAATCTAAAAGAGGGGAGTTAAATTATCAAGTGAGTTGAAGAAAAAAATGAGCCTCCTAAAATACAGAGGATAAAGATGAGAATTTGTCTTCCCCATTTTCCAGGATATGGGTCATTTTTAAGAGACAAATTTCAGGTCTATCTCAAGCTCCAAAGGAGAATATTATTCTAGCTTAATTAACTTTCTGAAAAAGCTACCTTGAAAAGGAAGAGGGCAGTGGAATCCTCCGACAACCTCCTTAATATGTCAGTGGGAAATGATTCCAGCAAAGCTCCAATGTAAATCAAGCTCGGCTCCCCAAAGCCCCAGATTCGTACAGTTTCAGAGGCTCATCCCTTTAATCTTTCTGCTCTCCTGAGGGCTTATGACTTCCACAGTGGCTGGAGGGCAGAAGGAGTCACAGCAGCTCAGCCCTGATACAAAAGTAAGCCGAAGAGGGACTGTGAGCCATCAGGAGTGAGCAAGATGAGCAGCAGAATCCTCTAAGCAAAAACCCCCAGGCAGAAATGCCAAGGAAAAAGGTCCCAGAAAGTTTATAGATTCCCATGGGCTTGGCTTGGAAAGAGAAGCACCCTTACAGCATAGCCTCAAAGAAGGGGCCTTGCTGCTTTCATCCCAAGAGGGCTGTGTTGTCTACACTGTCTCCTTTTAAGAAGTGTATCTCCCACATGTGCAAATGCACTGCATGCACACGGCTGCCCTAACTGTACTCAATTCTCTCTCTCTTGTCTATATCAAAGTATGCAGTTGTGATTCATTAAACAACGCTGGACTCTAGGTGACCGACATGATTCCTGGGGGCAGCTGCACACAAGTTTGTAGAAAGTGAAGAAGGTAACACCAGTAAGTAAGATGAATAAAATACCCCCGACCTGGTCTTGTGATAATTTAGCAGTAACTGTCACTTAGATTTCAGTATTTCTCCTTCATATGTACAAATAGGATGTGTTACCCTTTAAGACAAAATTCTGGGGACAAGGGGAGAGACATTCTGTTTTCAACATTTGTCTGGTGCCATTTCTATATATAATCTATGGCTAAAGCCCAACCCTATGGCTAGATAAGAGTCCTAAGGCTGGGCCTTGAGGACACCACTTCCCTCCCAGACCTACATCGTAGCCAGCAGGTCTCCGCCAGCAGTGCACATCTGCGATCATGGCCCAGGGAGGAGGGTTGCCCTCACAAATGCTGTTTTTGTGGACATTTTGGCACTCCTCATGGATGATGCCAAAGCCTGCCTCTGAGTTCAGGTTTCCCCCACTGCAATGAGATACACTGCCATTAGATGCCTGGTGCTGTGTTCCTCGTTTTTTAAAATATTTGCTTCTAACTCCAGCTACTATTTGTTTGTAACCTTTACTCCTATCCATATGTCACCTTGAAACTGCCACTGTAGGCTTTGGGTCTCCCTGGACTTTCACAACAGACTAGACACCATATCCTCTTAGAATGGTTTGGACAGTCAAGAGCACTGTCATGAGCTGTTCACCACCACAAGCACAGTCTACTTTCTTCAAGGGCTGCAGTTGTGTGTCACTTCCAAGCTACTATGGTGACGACCAAGTAAGAAAGAGAAACAAAGGATTAGAAAGCAAAATAACTGGGAGGACTAAAAAAAACTGTGCGTGCTATCAAAGTAAATGGAAAAACTAATATCACATTTCCTTGGTATTTCAAGAAAACAGTGACACAGCAAAAGAGGAAGAACTCTATTAAAGTAATGGTACAACCCATGGGAATTTAAAAACAAGCCAGGCGCAGTGGCTCACACCTGTAATCCCAGAATTTTGGGAGGCTAAGGTAGGCAGATCACCTGAGGTCAGAATTTCAAGACCAGCATGGCCAACATGGTGAAACCCTGTCTCTACTAAAAATACAAAAAATTAGCTAGGTGTGGTGGCAGGTGCCTGTAATGCCAGATACTTGGGAGGCTGAGTCAGGAGAATCACTTGAACCCGGGAGGCGGAGGTTGCAGTGGGCCAAGATTGTGCCATTGTACAACCTGGGCAACAGAAGTGAAACTCTGTATCTAAAAAAAAACAGGACACTGCTGGCAAGATGGCCAAATAGGAACAGCTCTGGTGCACAGCTCCCAGCAAGAGCAATGCAGAAGGCAGATGATCTCTGCATTTCCAACTGAGTGGCACCTGGAAAGCCAGTGAGACAGAACTGTTCACTCCCCTGAAAATGGGGGCTGAAGTGAGACAGCCAAGTGATAGGGTTTGGCAGGTCCCACCCCCCACGAAGACCAGCAAGCTAAGATTCACTGGCTTGAAATTCTCAGAGCCATCACAGCAGTCTGAGCTCAAGCTGGGATGTTTGAGCTTGGTGCGGGTAGGGGCACCCACCATTGCTGATGCTCAAGTAGGTGGTTTTAATCTCGCCCGTGTAAACAAACGCACCAGGAAGTTCAAACAATGCAGACCCCACAGCAGCTCAGCAAGGCCTCTGCAGGCAGACTATGTCCCTAGACTCCCTCCTCACTGGGCAGAGCATCCATGAAAAAAAACAGCAAAAAACAGCAGCCTGTCAGGGACTTATAAATAAAGCCCCCAACTTCCTGGGACAGAGTACCTTGGAAAAGGGCCAGTTGTGGGCACAGTTTCAGCAGACTTAAACATCCCTGCCTAGTAACTCTTAAGAGAGCAATGGATTTCCCAGCACAGTGTTCAAGCTCTGATAAGGGACAGACTGCCTCCTGAAGTGACTCCCTGACCTCCATGTATCCTGACTGGGAGATACCTTCCACCAGGGGCTGACAGACACCTCATATAGGAGAGCTCTGGCTGGCATCTGGTAAGTACCCTTCTGGGATGAAGCTACCAGTGGAAGGAACAAGCAGCAATCTTTGCTGGTCTGCAGCCCCCACTGGTGCGTCCCAGGCAAGCAGGGTCTGGAGTGGACCTCTGGCAAACTCCAGCAGACCTGCAGAATAGGGGTCTGACTGTTAGAAGGAAAACTAACAAAGAGAAAGAAATAGTTTCATCATCAACAGAGAGGACATCCACTTAGAGACCCATCTAAAGGTCGCCAACATCAAAGACCAAAGGTAGATACATCATGAAGATGGGAAGAACCCAGCATAAAAAGGCTGAAAATTCCAAAAACCAGAATGCTGCTTCACCAAGGGATCACAACTCCTGACCAGCAAGGGAACAAAACTGAATAGAGAATGAGTTTGACGAATTGACAGAAGCAGGCTTCAGAAGGTGGGTAATAAACTTCACCAAGCTAAAGGAGCATGTTCTAACCCAATGCAAGGAAGCTAAGAACCTTGAAAAAAGGTTAGACCAAATGTGAACTAGAATAAACAGCATAGAGAAGAACATAAACGACCTGATGGAGCTGAAAAACACAGCACAAGAACTTCATGAAGCATACACAAGTTTCAATAGCTGAACTGATTAAAAGGTAGAAAGAATATTAGAGATTAAAGATCAACTCAATGAAATAAAGCAATAAAGCAAGAGTAGAGAAAAAAGAGTGAAAAGAAATGAACAAAGCCTCCAAGAAATATGGAATTATGTGAAAAGATGAAATATGTGTTTGATTGGTGTACCTGAAAGTCACGGGAGAGTGAAACCAAGTTGGAAAACACTGTTCAGGACATTATCAAGAACTTCCCCAACCTAGCAGGGCAGGCCAACATTCACATTCAGGAAATACAGAGTAACACCAAAAAGATACTCCTCAAGAATAGTAATTCCAAGACAGATAATTGTCAGATTCACCAGGATTGAAATGAAGGAAAACATGCTAAGGGAAGCCAGAGACAAAGGTTGGGTTACCCCCAAAGGAAAGCCCATCAGACTCACAGCAGATCTCTTGGCAGAAACCCTACTAGCCAGAGGAGAGTGGGGGCCAATATTCACCATTCTTAAATAATTTTCAGCCCAGAATTTCATATACAGCCAAATAAGGCTTCATAAGCAAAGGAAAAATAAAATCCTTTACGGACAAGCTACTGCTGAGAGATTTTGTCACCACCAGGCCTGCCTTATAAGAGCTCCTTAAGGAAGCACTAAACATGGAAAGAAACACCCAGTACCAGCTACTACAAAAACATATGAAATTGTAAAGGCCAATGAAACTATGAAGAAACTTCATCGACTAATGGGCAAAACAACCAGCTAGCATCACAATGGCAGGATCAAATTCACACATAACAATATTAACCTTAAATGTAAATGGGCTAAATACCTCAATTAAAAGACACATAGACAATTGGATGAAGAGTCAAGGCCCATGGTGTGCTGTATTCAGGAGACCCATCTCATGTGCAAAGACACACATAGCCTTAAAATAAAGGAATGGAGGAAGATTAACCAAGCAAATGGAAAGCAAGAAAAAAAAGGAGGGGTTGCAATCCTCGTCTCTGATAAAACAGACTTTAAACCAACAAAGATCAAAAGAGACAAAGAAGGTCATTACATAATGGTAAAGGGATCAATGCAACAAGAAGAGCTAACTATCCTAAATATATATATACAACCAATATAGGAGCACCCAGCTACATAAAGCAAATTTTAAAGACCTACAAAGAGTCTTAGACTCCCACACAATAATAGTGGGAGACTTTAACACCCCACTGTCAATATTAGATCAACAAGACAGAAAATTAACAAGGATATCCAGGACTTGAACTCAGATCTGGACCAAGGGGACTTAATAGACATCTACAGAACTCTCCACCCTAAATCCACAGAATATACATTCTTCTCAGTACCACATCACATTTACTTTAAAATTGACCACATAATTGAAAAAAAAAACACTCCTCAGCAAATGCCAAAGAATGGAAATAACAACATTCTCTCAGACCATGGTTCAATCAAATTAGAACTCAGGATTAAGAAACTAACTCAAAACTACACAACTACATGGAAACTGAACAACGTGTTCCTGAATGGCTACTGGATAAATAATGAAATGAAGGCAGAAATAAAGATGTTCTTAAAAACCAGTGAGAATGAAGACAACATATCAGAATCTCTGGGACACATTTAAAGGAGTGAGTAGAGGGAAATTTATAGCACTAAATGCCCACAAGAGAAAGGAGGAAAGATCTAAAATTGAAACCCTAACATAATGATTAAAGAACTAGAGGAGCAAGAACAAACAAATTCAAAAGCCAGCAGAAGACAAGAAATAACTAAGATCAGAGCAGAACTGAAGGAGATAGACAGAGAAAAACATTTTCAAAAAATTAATGAATTCAGGAGATGGTTTTTCGAAAAGATCAACAAAATAGAAAACACTAGCCAGACTAATAAGAAAAGAGAGAAAAATCAAATAGATGCAATAAAATATGCTAAAGGAGATGTCACCACCAATCTCACAGAAATACGAACTACCCTCAGAGAATATTAATAACACCTCTATGCAAATAAACCAGAAAATCTGGAAGAAATGAATAAATTCCTGGGCACTTACAACCTCCCAAGACTAAACCACGGTGGTCTGAAATTGAGGCAGCAAGTAATAGCCTACCAACCAATAAAACTCTAGGACCAGATGTGTTCACAGCCAATTCTACTAGCTTTTGAATTTGTTTGTTCTTGCTCCTCATGATGATAGGGTGTTGATTTTAGATCTTTCCTCCTTTCTCTTGTGGGCATTTAGTGCTATAAATTTTCCCCTACTTACTACTTTAAATGTGTCCCAGAGATTCAGGTATGTTGATACACAAGGAGGAGTTGGTACCATTCCTTCTGAAGCTATTCCAAACAATAGAAAAAGAGGAACTCTTCCCTAAATCATTTTATGAGATCAACATCATCCTGACACCAAAACCCAGCAGACACACAACTAAAAAAGAAAATTTCAGGCCAATATCCATGATG